AATCTGCAGCCTGCTTAATTGGTTTTATCTGAAAAGCATCAACGTCTTTAGCCGTGCCGTTGCTTAAATTTATGATTGTGTTCAAACTTTATTTTCCTTTACAGGGTTAAGAAGACGATAATTTCGGTTGGATGGATTGTTCGTAAGATTATTATTTCTTACATTTTTTTTGACAATACTAAGGGAATATTTATTGAAAGCATCTTCAAGTTCTTTCCCAGATGATTCCCCATTATTCGTATTTATCGTGTTGTCATTGTGGGGGAGACAATATGCTTTAATGCGGCATTTAACCTTTTTCTATAGCTCAGAACACCCTTGCCGCAGAAATGAACTAGTTTGCAAAGTAATCGCGTCTCGCTTTTTTTAGTTCTTTATCTATACTATTACGAACCGTTTTAAACTCACGTAATATTTTCTGGTCCTTATAGTTTCAATAAACTGACTGGCTGCAGAGCTTGCTTTATTTTTTTGTCTGTACTTGCGAGAAGCTCGAGTTAACCTACGGCTTACGATTTTTCCTTCTTTTTCTATTGCGCAGACAAGCAAAGCTAGCTGCATATATGGTTCTTAAGGCACCAAGAAAATCAATATAGACATCATTTGCGTCATGAGCGTTAAGTACGTTTTCCCAAGTAGTTAGTGCATTTTATCACAAAAGACTGACAGGATTGTTTATGTGATTTCTTGTATTGAGTGTGCAGGCTTCAATATAAGATATTTTACATGCCCTCTCGGCAAAATATATATTAGTAGATTGTCGCTTAAGTTATAGGCAAATGCCCCTGCATTCACTTGGTCCGAGCTTATATTTGTTGAAACAGATAAATTAAAGTTGGAGTGTGCTCAGTCACTTTTAAGGGAACAGTTTGATTAAGTTCCTCTAATTATACATCCTTATTAAAACATTTAGTTTAGACACTTCCAAATCATATTCAATATGATGACAATATTCACCTCACCGCCGCAAATGAAATCAAAAAGATTTTTTGTGATAAAATCAGAAATTCCTGCTCAGCAATCCAAGAAGGTAGTTGTTATGCCACTGGTAGGGCAGTAGCAGGCGGCGAATACCATGTTTTCAATATTAATTTACAAAAGTTCACAATCACTCCTACTTACAAAAAAACTCTGATAATATTTCAGAGTTAATTTTTTTTTTAAACTAGAATGTATATTTCTCCAAACGGCTACTGCTATTCCGCCACCGCGGCTAAAATAGCTTATTTATGTTCTCAAACAACTTATTGGTGGGAATTTCCTAAAGTCGTCACTGCAACACCCGGTATAGCACATACAGTATAGGCATGTGACTTAAAGAATCACCAGAAACGGAGGCCCCAGTCTATCAGGAGACCCAAAAAGGAAGCGGTTTGTCGACTAGCGTCGGCGCTCAGAAATCGTGAAACGTTCTTGTTGCAACATGTGGTCTCCCTCACTCGGCGTGGCGCTCACTGTCCCTCTTGCCCGAAGCTGGTTGCCACGGCATCGAGCGATCTCAAGTTTGTATCGATCGCAAACGACGGTGCATTCAGAGCACCGGCGAGTTGAAACAACCGCGAAAGAACGACCGTCGGGAACTTTCCTTCAAAGTTCCCTATATCTTCAAATAGCTCCTCCGACTTTCCCCTAGAGTTTCTCTAGGCGCGTTCGACTTTCCCTAGATGTCCCTACCATGGGGGATGGCTCTCAGTGACTGCAATACCGAAAGGTGGAGCTTGCTACCCAAACAGTTTCGACAGGAACGGCCGAGTTCCTCCGTAATAACGGTCCGTAAAAATAGAGAAAAAGAAGTCTGAGCTGACATTAACATAATGTTTATTTTGATCAACCGTTGGTCGGCATGATTATCTTCGGTTCTGCTGCCTCACAATCCCGGAGCATTTTGTGTGGCCGAGAGAGTCGCCACATAAACGGAAGCAACAATGTTGACGCAATATAATTGCCTTTTGGACACGAAAATAGGGCGAAAATGTTGGTCAGGCAATATTTTGCCTGTAGTTTATTGTTCCTAGATCAATGACTGAACGAATTTGTCCAATATTGGGGAAATAAAAGAATAAAGAGACAAACAGCGTAGACGTTAGGTGTTTGTCTGCTTTTCTTTTTCGGTCTCGTGAAAATTACGAAAATCGTACATCCTCGTTCCCGCGTTTTTACTCATTCTTTGTTAATATCCCTGCAGTTGCATTCACAAAAAAGAAAAAAAAAAAAAAACGCGTCTACACGTAGGCCATTCGGAAGAGAACACGAAGAACCGATCATTGTACGCAAAAACAAGAACTGAAAAATAAATGAAATAACTTATTTTTCAGTTCCGTTTAGTACTGGGTTTGTGTGTGAATAGATTTAGTGCTTGATTGCTTTTTCTGCTTTCTTTCTGCGTTGGTGCACCCCCCCAGAGAATGCCGTTTGGTCGTTTTGGGGCACCTAAAAATAAACGTTATCGTTATTACCATTATCATATTTTGGACCAAAAATTAAGCCTTCCCAATGAACTTTTCTTTGAAAAGTAAAGGTAAATTTAGTAGTTTTTTCAGAGAGTTTGACAACAGGCAGAGAGTCGACAGTAGGTAGTAGACGGCGGGCCCTAGGCAGACAGCAGACAGCAGACAGAGCATAAGGGAGAATCCTTTCAACAAAGGCATATAATAAATAATATTATAACTGCTCCAACGCTCTGGACCCCCACGTTGGTCCCGAAAACAGTTTCTCTTCTTTTTAATCCTTTTTCGCTGGTGCTGACAATTTTGCCTTACTGAAATAAATTCCACGGGCGCCCAAAGTCTAACTTCTTGTTTTTGACGAAATTAGGATTAGGTACACTTCGGCGCATAAAAAAATCGCGTCTTTTCCTTTTATCTTTTTATCCAGGCAATGTCGCTTTCTTAAACAGTCGACTTACATTTGACATTCGAAATAAACTACGCATTTGCAATGCATAGTTTTTCTATGCAAGCAGAAAAATCGAGTTTTATTTTTGTCGATCGATCGCCAGCAGGTACAGTGTTTTTGTTCGAAGGTTACGGACGATTTTCGCAAATTTAAAAGGTTAAACAGCGCAACAAAATAAGGACAATAAAGTCACAAAGACGACAGGGCGGGAGCAACTTTTCATTAGGAAAAAAGGAAGCCAACGAGGCCCGCGAACGCATGGGGATGAATAGCGTCTGGTACTGAGGAACCTGCTCAATAGGGCGGTACCACGAAAAACATTTTCACTTCCGCCATGCTCGTAAACAGCGTGCCCCCCCTCCCTCCTTCCCTCCTTTCCTCCCTCCCCCCCCCCCCCCCCCCCACACACACACACACACTCTTTCCCCATTTATTGGTAAGAATTAGGCGCTTAGTTATAGATGTTTTTGGTGTTGGTGATGCGCGAGAGCGTCGCGTTCGGACGTATTTGGGTCGCATCCAATTAGGCTTACTATGATTTTTCTCTTCTTTTAGAGACCCGGCGGCAGTTGGATTTTTGTAACTCGACGGCGATAACAATATGTAATTTGTATCTGACTAGGACGGGAACGCTCACGCGGTCATACCGACGGCGTTAGTTTCAGCTTGCTTTGATTACAGTGGATTGGTCAAAAACCAATCACAAACCAAAGTAGTGATTAACATATTGGCCTTCTCTTCACGAGAGCCAACCAGTACTGACTTTATGGAGGTGTTACGATGCAGCGATGTCACTTTAATAGGAATCACGTTAACGTGGACGACCCGCTCTATAGAGAACATATGCGGGGGGAAACTTGGTTGAAAAATGCATTTTGTCTCGTTATTACGAACGACTTGCATTATAACAATATAGGGGCAGGTACAGGAAACTGAAGTGCCCATAATAATAAGACATGACATATCAAAACTAAAAAAAAGGAACAGACGAAACCAGTATTGTGTTTTAACATGTCTAGCTTTCATCATCGAGCTCGTCTGCTTAATTGAACTTTTTACTTACGATGTTTTACCAAATCAAATTTGATATAAAAATATCGCAAAAAAACTACGGTTTTACAAATAAACAAAAGAAAAAAAAAGCGTATCCTATCTTCTAGTAGCATAGTAGTGATCGTGGATTTTTGCCAACCTGAGGCATTCGTTTAAATTATGAGCGATGAAAGAGGCCGTGCAACGATAATGGGCAGGAATGTTTCTCACTTTGCACAAGCTTTCCAGCACTGGATGGAACCCAAAAACACTCGAACGCAATGCCACTGACCAATAAACATCTTCGTCGCGGTGGAATTTCGAAGGATAAAAGTGGGCCTTTCCTACCAGTCCCTCCTTCGCAAAACTTGGTGACAAAGTTAGGGGGACAACGCCAACAATGCGATCCTTGGGATTCAGTAATCAAGCTTTGCGATTCCCCGCTGTAACAACATTTAAATGCGACTCAAACGTTGGACACGAGAACTGCGGGGGGTATTCGATTTCGTCTCGTGACAATCAATGCCTCGACATGCATTCGGGTAGTGGCTTCTGTCTTACCGCTGCGACGACGAGAATAGTTCAATTTTAATAACGAGTGGAAAGAAGCACGCGCTCAGTGTTTTGCCAACCCTAGAGCGCGGCTATTTGAAACATTGGCGGCACTTAATCGGCTCCTGATGACGTGGACGCTTGTTCTGGCCGTGCGATGGCCTCGAGTTGAGAGGTTAAACGTTGTTCCTTTTTCTCGCATCTTTTCAGCGACTCATTGCGCGAAGAAAAAACCCAACGCTTGTTTCACAGGTTATGAAGGTCGAGGAATAACTAAAAGCATTATTTAATCAAGTAACGAACTGTTGCAATACCCGTTTTAAGTATTGCCTAAGGTCGAAACGTCGTACTGTCACGACGGCATTTGACGCCGAGGCTTCTGACACGCGCTCATGAAGACCGCGAGAAAATGCCCCGTATATCCGCGAAGGCTTTCACCAGCATGTCGATGCTAGATGGCGCAAGGTATACCGTCCTATATAAGTGGTAGAAATTAGCATTTATCCTTGGAGAGGGCTCACCTTGGAATGGACACATTGTCGTCGGGCAACACCAGATAGCATCGCTGTCGCAGCAGGCCCGCCCACAGTTGGACGCCCACGATGCCGAAGATGAAGAAGACAAAAAAACACAGGAGCAGGACGTTGCCCAGCATGGGCAGGGTGTCCAGCAGCAGCATCACCAGGATGCGCATACCTGCAGATCACAATGCATGCCTCACGTACTCAGTTTGGATTAGTGCGCCACCGATCTGGGCCATACACATATCGATCCAATATTTAACCACCTCGATCCTACGCATGGGGCCCCAATTACGCGGAATGCGGACTTGAGGGGCTGCTAATGCTCGACCTACGAGATTTTACTTCTAAACGTTAGTGGACGGTGGTCCTCTTGTGACACCCACCCCGTGATCACGAGAACGAGGCGCTCCTTACGTCGTGACGTTGAGTTGCCACTTGACATTGCGCCATCACGGTACCACGTGACAGTGTGACGTTAAGTTGTAACGTGAGTGTGTAACGCAAGGTTACGTGGTCATGTGGCACAGTGAGACACCTCTCTGTAGAAGTCATCTAGGGGACGTTGCACTACGGTGCCTGGGGTGTGCCTCTGACGACGTGTTTAGCCTCTTATGCCGTCCTCGCGTCGAAAGCGGTACCAAGTGGCAACGAAGAACGTCAGAGGGGCCGGCGTGTCATGCTGTCCGTTGTCGCGATCCTGGCTGTTGCTCGTAGAAGGTTCGGCAAAAAGCACCAGCGAACGCGAATGTCGCCATCATCGCGGCGTCTCGACTCCTCGTTGTTAAAGCTTCCGTGGACTTCCAAGCTGCAGAGCGACCTGCGGCAGATCAGGCGTGTCGGCCGTATCCTCTACTGTTCCACCGCGAGGCCCGCGGCGGGCAACATCATGGCGCTTCTATGGCGTCATCAGACTGAAGGATCACGTTTGAGGACGCCGTTAAGATACCAGGAGGAGACCTGTTTTAGGAACTTGCATCGGGGCACTATGTACAATGCTTGACCAGATGTATATTTTTTAAAAATTAACGCCGCAATTAAAAGTGCGTAAACGGACCGATTGCAGTTGCTCTGCTAAGGAAGACGCCAAAATTTGACTCGCCAAACAAAGATAAGTAAACTGTTCTGCACGAAACAAACCTTCTAATTAAACAAGAAAAACAAGCACAAGCGCTAATCATTCGAAGCTGTTCAGCGTATCTAAAGTAATGCGAAAATGCGGTCCCTGTGACACTAATCACAATGACATGAAAGGAGGAACCTCGGCGGCAAGGACCGTTACTTTCCCCTTGCAAACTTATAAGTTCCGTCAGTTTGGTAGTTAAATTATTGCCTCGTTCATAGCGGCACAGCTAACACAAGATTTCTGAACCTCATTGCTCACTCAAAATCCTGCCGAACGTATTCAATCGGTGAGGAGAACACGATGTCGCAGGCGAACGATGATGAAACAATTGCGTTCCTTCGGTGTCCCACGTTGTCCTCCAGTATGTGACGTAAAGCCTCGTTATCTATGTCTTGGCCATTCTTTATTTAGGGCAAGTATGATGTCTGGAACACGTCTCTGACTGGTGTGTTTACCGTGTCCAAAAATGTTGCGGTGACAATTTCCGTCCGGTGACGTCGTAGAGGTGTCGTGCTGGAGCCGGTCGCGAACCTGACGTTGTCACAACAGTGGTGGTAGACGTGGCAGACGCCTGCTCTGCTGCAGGTCTTTATCCAGCGGGACAGCCCACGGAAGCTTCGGAGGTCAAGAGTTGGAAATCCGCGACGACAGCGACACTCGTGTTCGCTCGTGCTTTTCGCCAGCATTTCCTACAACCTACCACAAGGATCGCGACATCCGACAGCATGACACACCGGTATCTGTGACGTCATTTGTTGCTACTTCGGGACCACTTTAGATGTATGGGCGGGCCAAGACGCTAAACACACCATTCGGAGACGCGCTCCAGGCGCCATAATGACAAGGAGAGAAAGAAATTTACCCTTCAGAAAGCAATACACATTTCCCGCATATTAAACTGTCCAATCTTATCAAGGGACAACATGGGGCCTGTGGGCTTTGCAAAGGACGGCTCGCAGAAAATTATTTATTCAGGGTGTAAAGTTTTAATTCGAAGAAAATAAAAAAAATATGTAAAAAAGTCAGGTGAGTGCCGTTTTCACCATGTATTTTTCCGACTCGTCGTACATTCGATGAGGGGAATAATCGCTGTAATAAGTAGGCTAATTACATGAAATCCGTTAATTATCTTCTTAATAACTGGTTGTTAGATGTTGGTAGATGTTGCTATTGCAGTAATGATGGCAATTGTTAATAGAGGCGAAACCAATTAAAGTAATTTTCAGAAATGCCATGGTTTTCAGATAATATTTTATAAATTTCAACGTTTTTAACCAGATATATAAAATTGCGCGGTAAACGCGCGTCACAAAACCTGTTCACAATTACGCTTAAAAAGTGACGCTGTCGTTTCGATCATGTCGTCACTAGATCGGCAGCGTGTCCTTGGTGGGGACGTTGACGACAAAAGGGACGATGCGAATAAAACGGCAATGTTACTCTTTTAAGCGTCATTCTGGCGCTTAGAAACTTGGGGCGCGCTTTTTACTTGCAATTTTTAAATCGGCCGCAAATTTTTGAAAGTTTATGAATGAATATTTAAAACAAAAAAAAACATTATATATTTTAATGAATCCAGTCGGTCTTGCCTCTAATTGTAATGTACGTCCATGTTCAAAATGCAGCAGTAATCTAAAATCGATAATTAAAAAGTTAATTAACATATTTAGTTAATTAGTCAACCTACTATGACACTTATACCATCATTTAATATCCGCCAAGAACGAAAAATGCATGAAGAGAGGGCTCATCGAACTTTCACACACTTAAAAATGTCTGTTAAAATTTAAATTAATCACCCTGTAAAATAATTTAACAAAATCTTGGAAGGTTGCAGGACAAGTCACTCGTACGAACGTTTCTCAATTCTAACAAAAGTGAAACGAGCGAAAGTGCATACTCACTTGGTATCCTATTTATTGCCCTAAGTGGTCGTAATACCCTAATTGTCCTAATTGCCGAAAGGTTTATGTTCCCCACGTCTAGGACGTACTCCAAAGCCCTGCAGAGAAGAGAGGATCCGGAGCACATGGGTCAGACCTTTCATGTCAAGATTTAGTCAAAATGGGAACGGAGACAAAGTTGCCAAAAGGTTAATCGTATTTTTTTTTTTGTGCGTCATAATTTATGAATTTAGCAGTTGATGGGAACACAAAATAAAGAGATGATGATGAATTTGGTGATGATGATTATGATGACAACAATGGTGATGGGTCAAAACACATCTGACTTGTAACCCCGAGACGGAGACCGGAGTAAACAAACGGGATAACCAAAAGCAAGGTTATGAAACTTTGTGTTTTCTCAACCAAGCTTTTTGTTGTCTGGAATTGTTCCTCAGCTTAAAGATAACGTAGTAAGGCAGGCGAGCTGGTTAAAGATAAACATTTCTAAAATCCAAGACGGAGGCTAAAAAGAGGGGACAAACAGAAGACGTCTCGATTTCCAAGCTCCGAATGATTTTTTTAAATTCATAGATTAGTGGGGTTGATAGTAAAAAAAAGGTTAGCCTTGTCCAATGAACCTAACTGGTCACACTATACTGGGTGAGTAAAAAGAACTGCAAAAGTAAAAAAGGCAAAACTTACCTTACAATCTTATGGAACCAAAGTGCAAATATAAAATCAAAGCAGCCGCGTACGGGCCTTGTACACATCTTTTTTTTTTTGCATATAATTTTTGTTTTTGTTTTATCAGCTAAATCCCAAATAGTGTATCACAATGAAATCCCTGTACAGCCTAGCTTCTTTAGAAGAGTAAGACGCAAACTGAATGATTGGCGGACTGACGCGCATTTTTTATCTAAAATTCTCTGTTTTCTATATTTCATATCGTATTCTCTATTCAAACCCTGACAGGTGCAAGCGCGTGATCTTTTTTGATGATCTAACACGAGCATCTTTGATAGTAATCTTCACCCGAAACTTGACTCAATACCGTGAGCAACGAAACCCAATCCTAGAATGTTTCTTAAACTTCACGAAGTTGAAGGGGGGTATCCAGATTTTTTAGACAAGTCTACAACCGCAATAAACTTGTATATAGCACATCAGCTTTTGCATATACATTTTTTTACTTTCTCTCGTATCCCGAGTCGAAAGAGAGTAACCATTGCTGTGGATATTCTTTAGCATGTGCAGCATCCTAATAATTTTGTCAAAGATTGATATTTTTCTCTTTACAAAAAAAAAAAGTAAATAAATAACATCCCCAACACTTTTGTGGTATAGTAATTTTAACTCCGTATCGTTGAATTTGTCTTTGAACTTCGCTCCGACATCAGACTATTTTTTCTAGGTAAAAACGCACCAAAACAAAAGTGAGTTCCATTTTTTTGCAGGACACGCTGGCGGGCAATCGGGGCGAAGGATAGAAATATCGCAGCGAATGAACGAAGATAAGAATATAATTAGATCTGAAAAAGACGACCTGAGCAGAAAAACAGGAGTATGTAAAACGTCATACTCATTATTCCCAGAAGCACATCGCATTCTTAATGCGGAAGCATTAACTGTGCCATGGAGCGAAGCGACGTCATCAGCTTTTGAAGCCGCGCCAAACAGAACCTTCCCCTGTCCCAATGGAGCGAAGCCTGTCGTCTGCAGAAGCGATCTGATTGATATTTTTGTATAATATAATTGTCAGCTTCGTTAATGGCTGGGACCCTTTTAACGTTCGCCCCCCTGTTTGGCTGTATCCCTGTTATGCAGGAAAGTGAGAGTCACATGCTCTTCTGGAGGCTGCGTGTTCGGCAACTTCCCCCACTGCTGCCCGCGTCGAATGGTGTGCATTTGGTTTTTGTTGATAGTGAATAAGTATCTTAATGCCTGCATATTTGCATGTATGTTTCTGTGTTTTTTTCTCCCTGTATCTTGATGCGCATTTTTGCACATATTTTGGTCAGCATTTAAATATTTCTACGCCTCGATTTCTTGCGAAATTTCCTTCTGGGCCCGGCAGGTTAAATAGATAAATAAACAAGTAAATAAATAGACTATATATATATATATATATATATATATATATATATATATATATATATATATATATATAGCGGAAAAACTGAATTTGTGTACAAGCCACTTGACAACAATTTTTCCTGGTAAATTTATCGAAGAATGCGCGGACGGACGGACGGATGGACAAGATTTTGAAAATAGGGGATAGCGTTGAAAGCGTTTCCTGCTTTAATACACACCTCCTAGAGAGAGCAAGGCCGTAGTACTGAATCTACATTCGTCAGCTACCGGAGGTCAGCGTGGGGCACGGATTGGGCACTAGTTCTGCGTCATCGTTCGGCTGGGACTCGTGTCCAATCGGCGAGGGCCCGAGTCCGAGCCGAACGCCGACACAGATCTCGTGTCCAACCTACGCACCGCGCTGGCCTCCGGTGGATGACGTATGAGATCTGGCACAACGGCCTTGTTTTTTACGAGGCTTTGGCCGAGTCGTGCGCCAGAGCTGCGAGCAAGGCCGTTCCGGTGAAGAGATGCGAAGGGCGGGAGGTCTCACCCGGCGACGACTATGAAGAAATCGAGGCGGTTCCAGGCCTCGGCGAGGTAAGCGTTCTTGCCCATGAAGCCCATGGCGAGCACCTTGATGCACATCTCGAGCGCGAAGAAGGCGAAGATCAGGTCGTCGAACACCTGCACGTCCCATTAGAAAACGTGAAAACGTGACTGACATTGCGAGACGTTCCGTTTTAGTTGTTTTTTTTGTGATGGAAATCAGTTCGTCGAACGACGTGTCATCGACAGATCGTTTCGTCGAACACAACCCCGCTGTTTTTGCGACACAACTCTTGCGTCTCGCTTGATTTACTATGGGAAAGAGGAGAAGAGAACACTAAGTTTAGGGAAGCGCTCCCCAGTGAATCACGCGATAGGTTTTAGTGGCTTAGTGCAAAATGAGAGTTACGTTGTCGACGAAACGTTGCAGGGGCACGTGTCGACGAAACAAGCTTCCACGAAAGTGACAGCGTCGACGAACCGTGCGTTTATGAAACATCTGTTCATGAAAAGTTTTCCACGAAACGTGTTCCCACAAAACTTGTTTCGATGAAACGATAGGGACCCGTTTTTTTCGGGAGGCCCACGTGGTGTCAATGGTGTTACAAACGCCTCTATCGTACCATTGATACTGTCCGTACACATTAGTTGAGGTTCTCTGAGCCCAGTGCGTCAGAATACTTAGATTTGTGTTCTTTGCCAACCTATGTCGTCAACTTTCAGCCTCAGATGTCTTATTTTAATGAATCTAAACTACTTTACTGGCTATGAGTCCATCCGCTTTTTCTGTAACTTGAATATGTCTTGCATCGAATAAACGAGTTTAATTTAATCTCATGGCACCTTTTTAGAACTACTACTGTGGTCAATGTGTTTGTTCCTAAGAAACAAAAATATTATTTGAAATACAGATTTTTGCTTTTGTTTTGCTACCTCATATGAATTTTACGTTATTAAAATCCCCGGGAATTATGTGCTCCTTCAATATAGTGGGCAATATTTCCAAAAGTTTCCTAAAGCGTTGCGTATGATCCAGTATACGAGTTCGATAAGCCTAGGAATAGAGAGTTGCGGCAAAACAAGTACTTTGCGGCAAAACAAGTACACATATACAAACTATCACCATGCTAACCAAGGACGTTATTGTAATACTAAGCGAATCGTCCGTGGTTCCAATCTCGCCGAGGGACCGAATCTGTTTTAAAGAAAATTTAGCTCGTTATCATATTTGTTTTTACAACATATAGTAAAGCCCTCAGCTTAGAACCCAGCCCTAATAAACAACTTCTAAGAAAAAAAAAAAAAAAAAAGCCACGTTAGTAGCACTTTGGAGCGAGAATGCTCGCTTGTTTTACAGTGCCTTGCGTTGTACCTTTTGCGCACTGGCCATAAATGCTGAAGCCACTTCTATTGGAAATTTCACTTAACTTTTAACGATCTCCTTTTACAGCTTCGTGTTATTTGTGCAAGCTGCTCTTAATATTTAGTAACCTATTTTTGACTGTGTACCCTCATAACTTAGGGCTGGCGCAGCTAGCTCCCTGTCCTACCACAGACAACAAAATGAGTATAGATGGTTCTATTTATTCATTGTCAAGATCGAAAATCCCCCCCCCCCCTCCTCTCCTCTGATGGAAAGAACGATAAGTATGTCGTTAAAGTTCCGCGAGGTGCCGACCGCGGTCCTCCAGAGGGCTTTCGGCAGCTATAAAGTTGTACAGGGTTAGAATTTTCGCTAAAGTGACAACCGCGCATTTTCTGAGCATTAATGGCGCACACTGGTTGGTTGCTTTTTACGAAAGAGCAAATATATCTACTGGAGGTGAGATGTTACACCGGTGCCCGCTAGTGTTTTCTTCTTTGGGATTATAAACAGGGTTTAGGCCAATCTTCGTACAGCTGGTGGGAAACATAGACAAGCTTTTACTGATTCTGCGCTTGGTAACAACAAACCCTCAGTGTAGTAATTCTGTTCAAAAGCAATTTGCAGCTGTAATTTAAACCTTACAATACAAAATATGTTAATACGGACAATACGTTTTTCGAGGGTCGGCAAAATTCAGTGCAAAAGTTTATGTACAGAGAGAAGCATAACTTGACTTCCGAAGCTAGTGCGTACTGCATAGGATGGTGATTGTAATCTGGTCGCCCGCATACCGGAAACCACAGTCGGTTCTCCTCTTTCAAATCTTCTTCCGTTATGCTTCGAAGTACGCTATACCGTTTGAGTTGCGACCCCATTGGTCGTCGCTATGGTCACGTAAACACTCACTTCAGCCAATGAGAGTGAGGCGCCACCCTCGAGGGCACCCTGCCCTGACGGTGAAACTATGGTGTATTGTTTTCTCGTTCGTAACGCTTTTACGTCTCGCTTTTCTGCCTAGGTTTTGCTTCTTACCTTTCCAGCAAGTTACCCCGCCGAAAAACTACGTTATGTTAAAAGTCGGTCTCGCCGTTGCGGGAGATGAAAGCTCCTGGACGCACGGGCAACTATATAGCCTTGGGCAGTTGAAGAAACGGTTTTGTCGAAGAAAACATAATAATAAGAGCTCTGAACCAATCAGCCTTGGCACGGAAAAAGCCGAGGAAGAATCGATAAAAAATATTCGCGCGTCATTTTTTTTTTTTTTTACAAATCTTGTTAGTTTGTTGTTAGAATTACTAATTGCCTAAGAAGCGCCCAGCTAGCTTGCGGCTGCGAGACACTCAGCTCTAAGGTAGTACCCACCGGGCGGACACGTGTGATTCGAATAAAGTTTTCCTTCTCTCTCTTTTCATCTCTGTGTGAGGAACGGTGGGCGATTTTGTCGGTTAATTTCTACAAATTAACTTCTACGACGTTACGCTAGTGGTGCCATTCCAGTGATCGTGTGGTTTATGCACCCATGTGCTCGCTCGCTATTGCGACAAGCAGTACAAGACCGAATGCATCCGAATAAAAGAAACAAAGGAAACGTCGTGCTGTATATAAACGCTGTATATAATTTCCAAAAAGTATAGCTAAAGCGACGTCATCACAGAAATAAGAATGAGCTCTTTTTTTTCCGTTCGCACCGTCGTTGCCCAGTTAGCACTGCCATTATTCCAAGAATGATGTCTGAGGTTCTTGGATGAATGCATTAATAGGGGAGAACACTTTAAATTGGACGGCGGCTTGCACCAGCTACCGAGTGTCTTTAAAATCAAAAGGGAAGCATGTCCTAATATACGAGACATGGTTATGCCTGTTCATGCTAAAATTGCTGAAAATCAAGACCCGTGTTACGTAAACCCCGTTACCTGTAGCAGGCGACACCTGGCGGACTGACACTCGTTGTCAGCACAGGGCTGGTACATGCCCAGGGTGACGCAGTTCAGCAGGATCACCAACATGCTGACTCGCTCGAACCACGTGAGGGCGAATGGTCAAGGAAGCAAGTTTCAAAGCGATCGAGAGAATAGGACAAGACAGCGAGAGCGATTCACACTGCACGGAAATGTTGACGACACCGCACACATATCCCACTTCAATCATTCATTGGAATAATTGTTTGTGCCTACCGATGCAGACGCATTCTAAGCTATAAATGCTAGACTACACAATGCGCTAGGCTACACAAAGCACAGAATTCACTTACAATGGAAGTGTGAAAGAGAAAATGGTTAAATGTAAGCATACATACATTTTCGAAACCACCTTAAATGTCTCAGAAATCAAGCTTGCAAAGTGCGACACTGGTATTTACCATAAAGATACGGATACATGAATCATATGTTATGCTAACATGTTCTAGAAAGGTACATACTGTACGAAATATATAATATGACAAGAGTAATGAGAGCTTCATTCGAGAAAAATCAATTCAACATCAAAACAAAACAAAAACGTCATCGTAGGTTACGAAGGCTAGTGACAACATTAACACGTTTGAGAAAATTGCCAGAGCGTGGCAATGGAATTTTCGGGTTACCCGTGGCACTCACCCAACGCCCAGGTATATGGAGTAATATATTGCAAACTTTGGTTATTGATTACTTTTTCATTGATGTCACCCTTTGGTGACTGACACAAATCGTGAAGGAAGATACGTGTACACCTATAGGCGTAGACTACGGGGGGGAGGGGGGGCAATGGGGCTCGTGCCCCCCCCCCCCCCCTTGATGAGATCCGGGGTGGGCAGAGTACCCCCGGCCATGATCCTTACGTGCCATGTAACGAGCTTCTAGTAGTGGCCTGTAAACAAAATAACGCCCACGTTGCCTATATTAACAAAATACATGGGAAATTGAATCCCAGCGTGCTTTTGTTAGCTTCAACCTCCAGTTCTGGCGCGAAGGTAAATAATGTACCCCCTAAAATATTCTACGAATAATTGCCGGTGTCAAAAAAAAAAAAAAAAGTGCGCGGAGAAGCATTCCCCCCCCCCCCCCCCCCCCTTCCCACAGGAAAATGGAAATTCTACGCCGCTGTTTACACCTCCTGGAAAACAAGGCCTTTGTGCTGGGCTTCCTTACGTCCCATACCGTAGCCCAGCGTAAGGCACAGGTTGTATGCAAATTTTGCGTGAACGTCCGCTGGGGTCCATATTCAGTTGGCAAAGACACGACTCCCGGCTGACCCAGCATCTGTGCCCCCCGCCCTGGCCGATACTAGTTGGGGTAAGAAATTCAACATTATGGCCTTTTGATCTAGGAGGTGCTGGTACAGTCTCCATCAATATAAAAGGCCCATTAGACGATGCAGTCTCAGGTGGCTCTGCAGAATTCGGTCTAGCCAGTCCCACGTCTCCTGGAGTCAAAAAATAAAGAAACCTTTGTTTTATGCTTTCCCTAATAATAAAGTGCTTACGGCCAACGCGTGCTCAGCAACACCGCATAAACTGTCCATGCAAATGGGTCTTTTCTTCTGTTAGAGACTGTACACTGCGAGATACTTTTCGTAAAAAGAAGCGATCGCTGTTTGCTTGTTTTTTACCTTCAGAATTGAAGGGCTGTTATCCAAACAAGTATTGCAGAAGAAAGAGCTCACGTGGGGAACTAATAAAAGCCGTTAAATGTGGGGCCTGCCAATACCTTTTAGAAGTAAACTGCGAAGAAAATGCCGATGCCATGTTCGCGTTAGCGGTGTCGTTGAGTGTACGCGTCAACAAGGTTACAAACGTTGCAACTTTCTTGTTGACGCAGCCCATGACAGGTTGTACGATTTTATCTGACCACGACACGTAAAAAAATGAGGGTGAGAGGGGAGACCATCGCGATCGATGATGGCCCACGAGCGCAGTTCCATCTCGAACTGACAGCGCCAATGGCCCTGCCTTCAGCGGCACAACGGTCGATTTCTCTCCTGAGGGACACCTCCCTGTTTCTCTTGTTTTTCTTGTGCTCCGAAGCCCGGATCCCTCGGTGCGTTCCGGCGGGGCACCCTGTACTTACGGAGATAGAGCGTCGTCTCCTCTTCCGAGCTGTCGGCGGGACTCCCCCGCCACGGAAGGGGAGAGCTGGCTCATCTGCGGCAGCAAGCAGAGAAGAAAACACGCCACGATTATTGACTGGTCAGCGGACAGGAATTCCAATAACGACCGCCCGCGGCGCCCGACTGCACTCGAAGGCGCACGCTATGTCGAAGCGCACTCAGGCTAAAAGCCGATTTGGGATTAGACAACGGTCATCTCGAGACACTTAGACAATACGTCGAAGACATGGACATATTAGCTTGTAGCGGCAGGGCGTTCCTTTCGGAACATTGTTCCGAGGCGCGCACATACAAGAGATTTATTCCGTGATTTCAACAGTGCATTTTCTAAAACTGAGTGAACATCTTTGTAAATATGTTTGTGTGAGCAAAAGAAGTCAAACAAGTGACGCATAACGTGTTGTCACGTGACACATCGCGTGACATCACGGGACGAGACGTTCTTTTCGGAACATTATCTTCCTACGCGCACACACTGACGATTTCTTGGAGGATTGGGAAAAGTGATGATTATGTTTCCTTTGGGAAAACGGAGATCGTTTTAAATTTCTATCTTATCGTGTTTAATATCTTGGAATTATACTTATCAAATATGGCTCGCGATTCGCAAATTACAAAAATGAAGTGCATCGCAATCAACGTAGCGGCGCAGGACGTTATATGCGCTCTTTGAGCACGGGGAGGAAGACCGCTGGCTTAGGTACGCCTACGTTCTGATAGAAAACTGAAAGCTAAAAACACATTAAAATTGAGCTCTTTTTCTGTACAACGCTCTAAACTATTGCGGGTTCCTCATATCCTCGTAAAGTGCGGGGATTCGTTGATCTTTGATAATGCCCAGCAAATTTATAACCGAAACCATATGTCAAGACTTATTAAGTGCTCCTTTACATACTAAACATAGTTATTAATCTAGTCATACCGAAAGCTTTTAAATTTTCTCAAGATGACTTCTATGGTAGAAGCCAATACAACATCATTCTGTTTGGTGCGAAGTTTTTACAGAAACAATTTGGCCGACGTTCCGTGACCTCTTATATGTGCATCCCTGACATTAAATATTTACTTTTTATTGCCTAGTCGCGTCCGCTCAGTTCCAGTATGAAAATAAACATATAAAAAAAGCTTCTCTACCCGGGGGCAAAAAAGTTTATTTTTGGTTGCGATGCACATTCGTTAGTATAGTCATTTGGAGCGTAAAGTCGGCGCTCCTTTAAGCGCCGTTCACACTCTTGCGACCGAGTAAGACCAAGAGAGACCAGACCGGTTTTTAAGCTTTTTGCGACTCGAACCTCGGCGACTGAAAAGTTGCCGATAGCTCGACGACTTTTAAGTCGCCGAGCTATCGGCACGCTTGTTCGACATATCAATTCGTTTTCAGGCAAGACGCACAAACAAACCTTTTCCTCAACGCTCACCGATGTTTCGGCTTTCAAATCGAAGTATCTTTATTCGTTGGGCTAAGCATTATAAAAGGGACAGAGCGGTCCAAATGTCTCATCTCGACAACTTTTATGTCGCTGTGCTATCGGCACGCTACCGTTTGATAGACGAATTTCTTTTTCAGGCGAGATGCGCGAACAAACATTTTTCAAAACGCTAATTGCTGTTTTGACTTTCAAATCAAATCGTTTTTACCTGCTGGATTAAGCACTAATCAACTGAAAAAGGGCAGCGGTCCGGCTACGCCTCTCGTCTCAACTGGTCTCAACAGCAGCGCAGCCATCTTGTTTGTTTACGTGACGTCACAGAGCGCGAAGAAGTCACTCGCGCTCCGAGAAATTTTCGGTGCACGAAGAGCGCGCTCGAGTGACAGTCTCCGGTGGCACTCCAGTCCGTTTAGTGAAAGGCGCGCCAAACTCTCGCGCTCCGGAGCACAGACTTAACGCTCCCATTGAGAGTTTAAGAAGCACCGAGTTCGTGGAATCTTTTTATCGTGTCGTAGACAAGGAGATTACGGTGCTAGACGAAAATAGGGAGTCTTCGTAAATCGTTTCCGCCGTCCCGAAACGCTCTCCACAGCCGGCTAAAAACTCCGGACGTTTCTTCAGTGAAGGCAGTAGCGGTCTCTTCGTTGCGGATAGCTTAGCAGAAGGAGGAAACCGGTATACGAGAACCACATAATACCTAAGATTTAATCACGGAGCAAGTATACGTCAGCGTATTCAAGCGTTCACCTGCATTTCTTAAACTGGCACTGACTAGATCTTTAACGAGAATTTAATAAATTAAAAAGAATGCACGTTTATGTAAAAAAAAAAAAGCGTCTCGGCTTCCGCCCAGGTAAAAATGAAACTTTTACATTGTTGGGAAAATCGAATCTCCATCAAGTTCAGAGATAACCATCTTGTATATACATGCTGCCAACAAACACTCGACGAAATCAATTTTTTGCAAATTGACAAGCCTTCGAGGGTTTCTTCTTAATGCCTAAACCAGTTGTTGGTTATGAACTCTTTGAAAATATCAAAAATGCTCGCAGTTTATGGGACAGTTTTATTGTCAATAAAAAACAAAACAAGTGCTTTCTCAGTTCCCTCAGAATAGAAAGGGAATGACTGCCTATCATTACTAATATGCTACACCACTCTTACACGGCTTGGTAGGTGAAGAGAAAAGTCTACTGCGTCAATTACAAACACATTATCAACTATGTAGTACAATAAGCGAAAAATACAAACAAAACAAACGTACTGCAGCTTCCAAAAAAAAAAAAAAAAAAAGGCTGCCGAATGTATTGCACGGATTGTCATTCAAATCCCATAGCATTTTGCATCGTCTTGTACTTCTTAAACGTTTCTTTACTAAACCGCTTAGGAACTGCCGCGGAACTTTTAGGAATATATTATGTTGATGTGCATGAAATCTGTGTCAGCCTTAAAACCGATTTACCTGATTGTTTGATATAACAGTCTACATCCGGCGGACGGACCT